TGTTGCCCAGGCTGGAGCACAATGATGCAATCTCGGCTTACTACAACCTCTCCCTCCAAGGTTCAAGCGATTCTCCTGCCTCAGCCTCCCGAGTAGCTGGGATTACAGGTGTGCATCACCATGCCCAGCTAATTTTGTATTTTCAGTAGAGACAGGGTTTCTCCGTGTTGGTCAGGCTGGTCTTGAACCCCCTACCTCAGATGATCTGCCCGCCTTGGCCTCCCAAAGTGCTGGGATTACAGGTGTGAGCCACCATGCCCAGATGATCGGATGGTTTTATGAAGGGTTTCTGCTTTCACTTCTCTCTCATTATCTCTTGCCGCTGCCATGTAAGAAGTGCCTTTCACTTTCTGCCATGATTTTGAGGCCTCCCCAGCCATGTGGAACTGTGAGTCCATTAAACCTCTTTTTCTTTCCAGTCTTGGGTATGTCTTTATCAGCAGCATGAAAATGGACTAATACAGAAGTCCTCACTTTTTTGACATAGAGGAAAATGTCATTAATTAAATAGTCATGCACACAGATGTAAAATTACAACTGTTAAAGGTTATGATGGATTAAGAGTTAGTATCTCTGGGTGTGAAACTTAACATGGTAAGACTGTAGCATCTAATGGGGTCTCTGACTCAGACTAGAGGGTCAAGAAAGGTTTCTCTGAGGAAATGGTGATTGAGTACAAATATCAGTAAGTAAAATTATTTAGATGAAGAAGACTGTTCTAGATTGAAGGAACAATATATGCAAAGAGTCTGAGGTGACAGAAAGGACTGCATGTCTGAAGACACAGAAGAAGGGTGGTGTTAGGAGAGAACAAAGTGGAGCCCCACGGTACAACAGACCAGAGAAGGAGATGCAGCCACATTCTACTGGGCATTGTAGGTGACATAAAGGATTTTGGCTTTTATCCTAGGAGCAAAGGAGGCCACTGAATGGCTTTAAGAAGAGTGACAACATGATTGGGTTAACTTTTTTTTTTTAAATGGAGATGGAGTCTCATTATGCTGTCCAGGCTGGTCTGGAACTCCTGGGATCAAGTGATCTGTGCACCTCAGGCTCCCAAGGTGCAGGGATTACATGCATGAGCCACTGTGCCCAGCCAGGATTTACATTTCCTAAAAACTCACACTAAAATGGGGAGAACTGATTCAGAAGAGAAAGAATGGATATATGAAGATCAGTTAGGACGCTACTAAAGTAGTCTAGGCAATATCTTAACCTGAAAATGTAAAAGAGGAAATGAAGAGAAATGAATGGATATGAGAGATATTTAGGAGTGCAAAGCTGACAGAACTTAGTCAATGGAGGAAATGAGAAAGGAAGACTTCTGAGATGACTCAGGTATCTGGCATGTACAATTAGATGAATACAGAATACTGAAAGAAGATCAAATCTGCTGGGAGGAGAGGAGAAATCATAGGTTCAGTTTTGGATGTGTTGCATCTGAGATGCCTTTGAGATATGTAAATGGCAGTCAATGAGGTAGTAGGATATACAGTCAGCTCTCTGTATTCAGAGGTTCTGTATTTGTGGATTCAACCAACAGCAGATTTAAAATATTCAGGAAAAACAAATGAATGGTTGTATCTGTACTTACCATGTACAGGTTTTTTCTTGCCATTATTTCCCTAAACAATACAGTGTAACAACTATTTACGTAGCATTTACATTGTATTAGGTATTATAAGTAACCTATAAATTATTTAAAGCATACAGGAGGATGTGCATAGGTTATATGCATACCATATCATTTTACATAAGGGACTCAGTATCCTTGAATTTTGGTATCTGACAGGTGGCCAGTGGGTAGGGTGTCCTGGAACCAATCCCTGAGGATACTGAGGGAAGAATGTAGATGAGTCTACAGCTCAGAGAATAAGTCTGGATTAGAGATAAAAACTTCTGACAGAATAAACAGTAAGCAATAGATACAGATGAAATAACATGACGAAAAAAAAGACCACCAAGGACTGGGCCTTGAGGAATTCCAACATCTAATGAATAGAAAGAAATGGATAAATCTGTACAGGAGACTAAGAAAGAATAAATGCTGAGAAAGGAGAAAAACAGGGATAATGTGATGTCACAGAAGTCAAGGGAGGAGAGGGTTATAAGAATAACAAAGTCATTAATAATGCTGATTAGCACTGACAGGTCAAGTAAAATAAAGACTTAAAAGTCTGCTGGATTTAATAATATGAAGATCATTACTGATCCTAATAAGAGCTACTTCAATGGTGTGATGGGGTAGAAACCACAATGAAGTAGGAGTATAGAATGAGTGGGAGATGCTGTGGTGGTAAAAAAATTCAATACCCATCCTAAAGTTGTTAAGTTCTGTTTAAGATGCAAAACTTCCGCGCCTGTAATCCAAGCACTTTGGGAGGCCAAAGCGGATGGACTGCCTGAGCGCAACACTGTGAAATCCCGTCTCTACTAAAAAAAAAAAAATTAGCCAGGGGTGGTGGCATGCATCTGCAGTCCCAGCTACTTGGGAGGCTGAGGCAGGAGAATTGCCTGAACCCGGGAGACAGAGGTTGCAATGAGCCGAGATCATGCCACTGCTCTCCAGCCTGGGCGACAGAGCGAGACCCTGTCTTTAAAAAAAAAAAAAAAAAAGAAAAGAAAGAAAGCAAAACTTATTAAGAGAACACAGAACACAGATACAATGCTACAGTTTTGCTAATTCTCTAAATGCAACAAAAATCCAAAAAAAGGAAGGCTCAAAGTAGCTGGGTAACCCAGGAAAGTCTTTATAGAGAAGGAAAGTCTTAAGCAGAGTACTTAAGTGCAACACTGAGTGACTGAAAGATGCTCAATCGAGGGAAATTAAATGAGAAAAATACACGGTGTGTGTGTTGGAGGTGGAGCTGGAATTGGGATAGGCTGGAGTGATGAAAAAAAGCCAAGAGATAAAGTCGTCTGTTTTGCAATAAAGGCTCAATACTGAATTATTTAGGACTAGATAATCTAGGTCCTAATGTCTCCTTTTTGCTGCCAACCTGGGGGCCAATTACACTAGAGGGCTGGTAGAAAAAAGGGAATATAAGAATCATAAATCAATTGTGTTGCTCACTAGTTTTAGATGATTCTGTGTGAAAGGTGAGGATGAGTAAAGTGGCTAAAAGGTAATTTTATATTATTTGTGATTTTTAGAAAGTTGGAAGAAGTGGAAAAGAACACAGACTTTATAAAACCAAATCTGCAGTCTAGGAAAAAAATACGTATTTTAAAAATACAGACTTTAGAGCTAGAGGGAATCAGGTGTGAATACTAACTACTTACTACCTGTGTAGCTTTGAAAATGCAATTAATCTCTGCATTCCAGTTTTTCACTTATAAAATGGGGAAACAAGCTTCTTAGCAAAGTTGTTTCTGGATTTAGAGATGAGTAGTGCTTGATTCCTAAGCATCTAGTAAACAGTGGCCAATACAGTTGTATTAATACTATATGAGAAAACAGGAAATATAGTCAAACAGATAACCTTGTATACCTAAGAGAGGGACACTTGGTTTACTGGTGGGCCTTAATCTACATTTTTTGTAAGTATTTATCCACAAGTTAGTGAAAAGCATCAGACAATAAAGTGTAGTTTTTGGGCCTATTTTGAAATCAATATAATCTGTCTCATAGACTTTTAAAACTAATAATATTATATATGTAACTATTCATTAAGTATTTAGAAAGTTAAAATATATTCTTACTTTATATTATTGCCAACTTTAAACTTTAATTATTTGTTATTCAGATAGGGGGCTCCCTCTGTCGCCCAAGCTAGAGCACAGTAACACCATTATGGCTCACTGAAGCCTCGAGTAACTCTCTCACCTCATCCTCTTGAGTAGATAGGACTACAGGTGAACGCCACTACTCCTGGCTAATTTATTTTTTGTTGAGATAGGGTATTTCTATGTTGTCCAAGCTGGTCTTGAATCCCTGGTCTCAGCAATTTTCCCACCTTGGACTACCAAAGTGCTGGGATTACAAACATGAGCCACCATACCAGGTCGTGTTATAGCTAATTTTGTAAAAACCAAAAGAATAAAAAAGGCAGGCCAGGTGCAGTGGCTCATGCTTGCAATTCAAGCACTTTGGGAGGCTGAGCCAGGCAGATTACCTGAGGTCAGGAGTTTGAGACCAGCCTGGCCAACACAGTGAAACCCTGTCTCTACTAAAAAGACAAAAATTTGCTGGGTGTGGCGGCACACGACTATAATACCAGCTACTCGGGAGGCTGAGGCAGGAGAATCACTTGAACCTGGGAGGCGGAGGTTGCAGTGAGCCAAGATCGCACCATTGTACTCCAGCCTGGGTGACAAGAGCGAAATTCTATCTCAAAAAAAAGAAAAAGAAAAAGAAAGACAACTATAGTTAAGGGCAAAAAAAGAACACAGGACAAGAAACGGTAAAGACAGGCAAGAAACAGGATAGACAAGACAGGCAGATAGAGAAGAGACAGTCAGACAAGAGCTAAGACAGGGAAAATCTGCCCAGACTGCCTGGATACCTTCATAGCCCTCCCCTTGCTATTTCTATTTGAGAGTCCAAACCAAAGCAGTCTAAGCCTCCTGCTCTGCCAAACCAGCTTTTCCTTTACCTGACTGTGCCACTGCTGTCATCTCTTGCCCAGCATGCCTTCCCTCCTAGGAGTCTCCTAACCAGTACTTAACCACAGACTAACTAGACTTAGTATAGCCATACAGTGTTCTAGGCCACTTCCTCTCAGTCATTAAAAAACAAAACAAAACGAAACAAAATGAAACGAAACAAAGAATTGCACCTGCTAAACTAAGAAGAAGACCTTGTGACAGAAATGAGGAAGTATGTTTATAGAACACTGGGATCTTTTTTTGGAATAATTTTTAAGAGACGCCTTTGAAAAACTTTATCATTTTAAGAGATAAAAAGAGTGATAGATGACATTTAAGAAAAGATCCCAAAGGCTAAATGAAAAACCCACCCCAAGACGACTAACCCCAATTTATTTAGTATCTCTTCTTACTGTGTGCTGAGGGCCATCTTCATTATCCCTCATGTAGAAAGGCTTGATTGCTAATGGATAATTAATAATGAAGACAGGTATGTTGCCACAGTGCTTCACCAGGTACTTTTCATGTTCAGTTTGTAGATTAACACCCCACTGTAATGAGAAGAAAGAAATGACCAAAAGAGAAGACAGAGGTGAAATATACAATTAAGCACGTGAAAATAACCTGCATCAATTCCAAGAGTTTCATCTTCCTAAGGCTCCATGTGTGGAGCGAGCTGCTAAGGTTACACAGCTGACTAAACCAGAGAGACCTATTTGTTAACAAGAACACCTACAGGCCTGGAAAGATGAAAGCTGAGGCCAGTAGCTAAACACTGCTTTCTGTGTCCCCATTGGTCCCCTACCCTCACCTCCCAGGAGGAGATAATACAGCACCTGCAGGAAAACAAAGTCTACTTTACAATGGGATAAAAAATTCTGACGTCAGAATCAGTTTTTAATAGTGCCTTAGGCTTCTTCCACAGTAACTGTTCCTAAGTCTCGGGAAATTAAATGACAGAAGATAATAATCCTAATATTGAGCCTATCTTTGGCTAAATGACTTCTCTTGGTGACTTTTTTTTTTTTTTTTTTTTTTTTGAGACAGAGTCTGGCTGTGTCGCCCAGGCTGGAGTACAGTGGCGCAATCTCGGCTCACTGCAACCTCCGCCTCCCGGGTTCACGTGATTCTCCTGCTTCAGCCTCCCACGTAGCTGGGACTTCAGGCGCCCACCACCATGCCCGGCTATTTTTTTTTTTTATTTTTAGTAGAGATGGGGTTTCACTATGTTGGCCAGGCTGGTCTTGAACTGCTGACCTTGTGATTTGCCCACCTTGGCCTCCCAAAGTGCTGGGATTACAGGTGTGAGCCACAGTGCCCGGCTGGTGACTTCTTTTTAAATAAAAAGAATCAACTCATGTGTGAGATGCTCTTTGATGAATATTTATTAACTCTGTTCAATATATTTATTAAGCAAATACTAATGTGCCTATTAAATTCCAGGTACCATATGATATACTGGATAAAGTGGTAAGAAAAATAGTTATAATCCCTGACTTCATGAAGCTTCCAGCATAGGAGACAAAGAAATGAAAACTTACACAAGAACTGATTATAAATATAACAAGCACAGGTTACTTTTGTAATTATAAAGACCTGACTTAATTGGGATTGAACTGGTACAAGGAATAGTTTAAACACAAAGGTTAACATTATCTTATTACTACCACTTGTTTGGCAATATCTTAGTTATAGGAAAAAAATAACTCAAATAGGAACAAAGAGTTTTGCCTCCAACACTATACACACGCCCACTGACAGATCATGTGGTCTTCTGGACCTGTATCATTGCCAATAAAATAAAAAAGCTTTAGCTGGGGACGGTGGCTCACGCCTTTAATCCCAGCACTTTGGGAAGCTGAGGAGTGCTTGAGCACAGACGCTCGAGACTAGCCTAGGCAACATAACCCTGTCTCTACAAAAAATAAAAAAATCAGCCAGGCCTGGTGGCACGCACCTGCAGTCCCATATACTTGGGAGACTGAGTTGGGAGGACTGATGTGAACCTGGGAGGTGGAATCTGCAGTGAGCCATGTTTGTACCACTGCACTCCAGCCTCGGCAACACAGAGAGATCCTGTCTTTCAATAAATAAATAAATAAATAAATAAATAAATAAATAAATAATAAAATAAAGGAGTTCCTTCACAGAAAGACAGAGTTGTACAGTGGTTGTCAGGGGTCTGGGAAAGGGGCAAATGAGGGGATACTGATCAAAGTGTACACACTTTCAGTTATAAGACGAACAAGTTCTGGGGATCTAATGTACAGTGTGGGTAGTGACAGATGTGTTAACTGACTGTAATAATTTATTACACAATGTATACGTGTATCAAATCATCATGCTGTATACCCTGAATATATATAATCTTCTTTTGTTGTTGTTCTTAGAGACAAGGTCTTTCTCTGTCACCTAGGCTGGACGGCTGCAGTCGATCATGGCTCACTGCAATCTTAAACTCCCAGGCTCAAGCAATCCGCCTACCTCAGCCTCTTAAAGTGTTGGGATTACAGGTGTGAACTATCACACCCGGCCTATACAATCTTTATCAAGTAATTTTTGGAAAAAAAAAAAAAAAAGAATTCTTGGCTGGGTACTGAGGCATGCTCCTATAGTCCCAGTTACTTGGGAAGCTGAAATGGGGGATCCCTTGGGCCCAGGAGTTCAAGATGAGCTTGGGCAACATAATGAGACCTTTATCTCTTAAATATAAAGTTCTTTAAAAGCAAAACGAAACAAAAACACCCCAGTGTTTTCCAGAGTGGCTCACAAACTAAAAGGCTCTATAAAGTTCAACTGAAAAACAAACCTGTTTCTGCAAGCACTAAATCTGGAAAAAGAAAAAAAAAAACAAAAAACCTGTTTAGTTATGTTGCCTAAATTTATTTGATAATGTAACTTCCTTCATTGGTCATCTTTTAATGTCATTCAGAACATACTTTGGAAAACACAGAATTAGTTGACTTCTACAGTAATATATATATTTTTTAAATTCACTTTTTTTTTTTTTTTTTTTTTGGGGCAGAGACAGGGTCTCACTATATTGCCCAGGCTGGTCTTGAACTTTGGGGCTCAAGCACTCTGCCTGCCTTGGCCTCCCAAAGTGCTGGAATTATAGGCATGAGCCCCAACAACTGGCCTCTAAAGTAATAGTCTATGATTATCTTTCTTTTTTAGAATTTTCATCTTCCTAAACATGGGATTCTCCTTTATAACCCCTTAGTCACTGCTATTCCAAATGATACAATTTATTTTTATTCTAAATTAATTCTGTTTTAAGTATCTCAGCAAGATTGAGCAAATATCAAATAAAATCTGTAAGTCTGTGTACAAATGAGCAAATACCATATTTTGCTAATAACAGAAATAAGATGATTTTGAAGGATTCTTAATAAAGTAAGCTAAAGACAAGAAGGAAGCATTTTCACACACACACATATATATACACACACAAAATACTACCTTTGGGGTGAAGGTGAAGTTCTGGGATGCTTGCTTTAAGATCTCCACTGCTTCAGTATAAGAAATGCTGGAGGAAAACAGGATACAAGCAGAGAAAAGTCAATACAATTGGGCTGCTGTTAACTAGTTCATTTTAAAACCAGAAAAAGCCTACTCCTATATCACACTGTGAGGTCATGAGGGAATACTGAATAATCAGGAATTAAGGCTGATCTAATCCTATAAAAGTCTGATCTGCCTGAAGAGAAGTAACCATTCAATAACCATTCAATAACCTCACTCCTCATCTACTTGCAATATACACAGCGAAGCTAGTCACTTAAGCAAGGAAAGATTATTCTCTGAATCCAAGATATGCCAATGCCCTAATAAAACGTATGAAATACTGAGACTACAACAGCAAAAGACTTTCTCCTAAAATTCACGATTAATTCATTTATTTATCCAACAGACATATACTTGGCACCTACTAGGCACTACACATAATTCTAGACACTGCAGATAAAAATAAAGCTCATGGTCGGGTGCGGTGGCTCAAGCCTGTAATCCCAGCACTTTGGGAGGCCGAGGTGGGTGGATCACAAAGTCAGGAGATCGAGACCATCCTGGCTAACACGGTGAAACCCCGTCTCTACTAAAAATGCAAAAAAAAAAATTAGCCGGGCGTGGTGGGAGGCACCTGTAGTCCCAGCTACTAGTGAGGCTGAGGCAGGAGAATGGTGTGAATCCAGGGGGCGGAGCTTGCAGTGAGCCGGGATCACACCACTGCACTCCAGGCTGGGCAACAGAGCGAGACTCCGTTTCAGAAAAAAAAAAAAAAAGCTCAGCCTTCATGGAGCCAACGTTCGTGCATGCGTGTGTGTGTGTGTGTGTGTGTATGTGTGTGTGTGTGTCTGTGAGAGAAAGAAAGAGCGAGAGATGCAGGTGAAGAAAGAGTAGACAGAGCAAACATCAGGTAGCTATTAGTATAATATAGTATATTAGTATAGTATAGTATAATATAATAGTGTATTACTAAGATAATCATAGTATATTAGTATAAATGGGTAGCCATTAGTGCTATGAAGAAAAATAAAGTGGAGTAAGAAGACAGAGGAGGTTTGGGGTACCATTTCAGATATGATGGTCAAGAAAGGCCTAAGTTTCTGACATCTGAACAGAAGTGTGCATCGAGTAACGAAATGAACCACAGAAGTCTCTTGGGAGGAGTATTCCAGGCAAAAGGAACAACAAGTAAAAGGATCTGAAGTGAGAAACAGTTTGGCTTGTTCATGGAACAAAAAGGGCAGTCAGTGTGACTAGAGCATGCTGAACAAGAGGAATCATGCACAGGAAATTACATAGGAAAGGCAGTCAGAAGTCAGATCACATGGACTCTTTCAGGTCATACTAAGGGCCTGGTAATGTATTCTAAGCATTATAAGACTATTTAGGAAGATACTGATTCTCTCAACGAGACACCCTCATGCCTAAAGTAAGTCAAAGCAAGTGTTTCTTTTAATTTAACTATGTAAATAGGTAACTTATCTACATAGTTAAAAAAAAAAAATCAAGATGTATAAAAGAATATACATTTCCCTTCCATTGCGGTTCCAGAGACACCTAGTTCCTTTCCTTTCACACAATCACTGTTACCGGTATTGTGAATATCCCTCTAGAGGATTTTATTTATATAGATACGTAAATAATACACAATCTTCCTTTTTCATAGATGTCATACATGTCATACACACTCTTTCACACTTAATTTTACAGAGTAATATACCTTGTAGATCTTTCTGTGTGTATATAAAGAAATTCTTCACTTCTTGTATTATATAATATTCCATTTTGTGGATGTATCATAATTAGTTTAACCAGTGACCTGACATTTCACATTCTAATCTTTTGCTATTATAAAACATGCCTATATATACCCATTTAATATTATTACAAATAGTTATTATACACTAACTTGTCACATGGCAAAAGTAGAATTGTTAGATGAAAATTTGCAATTTTTATATTTTCTGAAAGGTTTTGCCAAAGATATTGCCCCTTTTATATCAATGTATACCCACCAGTAACATGAAAGTGTCAGTTTGCTTGTAAACTATAGGTAAAATACTGCATCAGTATGGCTTTTTTTTTTTTTACAAAAAATCTACAAACTTTCTGAAAGACTTTTGAGCTCAAAAAATAATTTATCCAGCACAAACTCATTCTCTGAAGCAAAAATGAAGTTCATATACATAACAACTAACCAGAAAGAGTTGTACTGTGTCATACAATACAATAAAGCCCCTAAAGCTATGTTTTGAAAGATAGATTTTTCCTAAGATGGAAAATCTATTCAAATTAAAATCTAGTATTAATAATAGGTAATTTTTAAGGTAGTAATGGTGGCGCTAGTTGTGTTGGTAGTAGCAGTAACAATGATTTTAAAATTAGCATTTTACAGAAGGGAAGCAGACGGTTAGAGAGGATCAATAACTTTCCAAAGGTTATTCATGTAAGTAAATAGTAAATCTTGATCTGCTGACTCCAGAGTATACACTTCTAATGGCTAAGATAATGCCTAAAACACTTGGAGTTTCATATGTTCCATCAAAACAAAAGAAAATGGGCTCTGGGTTCTTCATCTGATTCTACCACTTAATCTGATTCTACTACTAGCTATGTAAGTCACTTCAACGTTGTGAAAGCATGTTATTAATTTTTGTAATGTGTTATACAAACATTTAAAAATTATTTGCATTTATAAGGATATTGAACTATCTTGTATAAAGTTCTTTTCTGTTTAGGCATTCTATCGTTCTATTATATCGATTACTTGGTATGATCTACCAATCACATTGAGAAATATAAGAGCAGTCAAAATAATAAGCAGTAGATTTTGTACCATTGGTATGTTACTGTTTCATTATTAAGAAATGGCTCTCATGTCTAAATATCTCATTATTCCATGTCTTCCACTCCACACCCCAATACCTTCATTAGGGGCAGAACTTTCAAGTTCAAATTACAGTTCTGATATCTGATATCCTTAATGGCTTCCATCAACTCTCTCCACTAAGTATTTTTCTTGATATATATAGAAAATAATATCTCTTCTCCTTTCCAGAAGCTGTTTCCAAAGTGCTTTGAGGAAAGGAGGAAAAAACATTGCGATAAAGAATGATATGGCATCAAACTACCTTCATATTTCACATTTTTCATTGTTGAATAAAGAAAATTCATTATTCTGAAGCTGTTGGAGTAAAATTGCTAAACTACAAAGATAATTATTGTCATCCTTTGCCTCAAATTCACACAGAAAGATAAATGAAGAGCAAATAAAAAAGGTTAAATACTATTTTCAGAAACACAATAATATAAAGGAAATGTAAAATAAACTGAATACAATTTCTGCATAAAGGCTAAATTCAATTACTACACGAGTTGCTGAAACAGCACATTTTCATATAAAATAATTATAACAGGTAGTGAAAAATATACTGAAATCTACTCAAAAGAATACAAGCCACGTGGTATCTATACAGATTCAATAATTAACAGTGCAGTCTACATAAGCATAAAACAAAAGTTTGTCTTTTGTTTTTTTCTTTTCTCCGTTTCCCTGTTTTTTCTCCTTGTTTCCCTGTCTTGTCTTTTCTCTTTACTGTTTTTAGGATTAACTCAACAGTAGATTCAGCTACACCAGTATTTTCAGAAACTTCAGCGTCAATGCCTTAAAAAGCATGAAACAGCAGAAAGGTGATGCCAAGGTGGTACAGAGGGCACCACCACACAACGTATTTCTCAACTTGATACCTCTGATGTTGCTGACTTAATAATCACTGTCATCGGACCAGCACCATCTCCTTATGCTTTTTTTTAGTGGCTACCTTGCATATTTTAACACGCATATCTGACTTAACAGTCTAAAGCAGCTGGGTGTGGTGGCCTGCACCAGTTGTCTCAGTTACTCAGGAGGCTGAGGCAGGAGGGATCGCTTGAGCCCAGGAGTTCAAGCCTGCAGTGAGCTATGATCACACTACTGCCCTCCAGCCTGGACGACAGAGCGACGTCCTATCTCTTTAAAAAAAAAAAAAAAAAAGTCTACAGTTCACCAGTTTCTCTCTCTTCCTTCCAAACAACACAAGGACTAACATTTCAACTACGAACGTACCTCTTCAGTTTTACAAGTTATTGCTGCCCAGTATTTCAGTTCTAAGGTAACAGGTATTTTCTTTCAACTATGTGAAGATACTATTTTATCAATCTATTGTCATTACTGTCCTTTGAACTTCTTGGGAATCTAATGCTATTTGTTATGTCTGCTGTTCTTGCTCATGGTAGGTATTTCCCTGTGTATTTGGACTGAGATTATCTTAAGTAGAGTTTGTTTTGGGAATATCATGCCACTTGGGTTGAGGGTACAAACTTCAAGATTGGTTTTATATTAGTTTCTATAGCTACTCCAGTGTTATCACTAACTGAAAATTTTTATTTTAATGCCCTAGCACGAAGATTCTTGAACTACACAGGAAACAAAAATTCAAACTCTAGGCTCACTTAAGGGCCAACTGTGGCTGCAAATTCTCAATGGAGACTATTTCTGTTTTGTCTCTATCCTTAAGCCCAGGCTAAAGCATATATACTTCTACACTTCTCTGTAAATTCTCTACACTGGCTAGCTCAATTTTCTGTTTGTTTGCTTATTTTCTAATTGGCCCTTTCATTAAGGGTGTAGTCCTTGGCCAGTTCTAGCTTTGCGTATATGTGTGTGCATTTGCGGGGATATCTAATTCATTCTGCTATGTCTATTCTCATGTCCTCTCATTGCTGTTAAAACCTCTGGTTTCAAAGAATGGAAAATCGCCCTCCAGTTTCCCCACCCTACACCCTGAGAATCCTCAGCATCACACCAACTGTGCATATCACTCTGCTGTTTGGTTTCTTCTTCATTTCTAGCACCTGGAACTTCTCCTCCTTTCTAGTGAATTCAACAACATATTTAAAATAATCTTATAATATTTTAAGTATTATTTTTAGAAGTTTTGTAGCAAGGGTGTTTTCAAATTATCTAGTCTGACATATTGCTTTTAACAGTATCGTTTTTAAATCCTTTCAACAATATGACAGTATTTTTTATAGATGTGGAAACTGAAGTTCAGAAAAGTGAAAGATTCACTATTCATCAAGGTCATAGTTGTAATTAAATTATTCATATAAATAACTGTTCATCTTTTTCTCTAGATTTTAAACTCCATAAAAAAATAGATAGATGTTTGTTTTCATTATTCTCAACAACTAGCAAAGTGCCTAACTCATATTAGGCAGTCAATAAATATTTGTTAAAAAATATTAATTTACTCATTAATGGCTAGTACATGGTAGGGCCAGGATTACAATCCAGGTTCGCTGAATCATGGTTCACAACCCTCAGTGACTGAAGTAAATAGTGATATGAGCCAATAAGAAACCTGAGGAGAGAATCCAGCCTAAAGAAGAAAACCTTTACAGCCACGGTTACTCAAGTCATTTGTTTGCACTCAGTTACCCAGTATTTACTGAATGTCTATTAGAGGCACTGTGCTAAGTCCTGGGGGCATAATAGTAAGCAATTTAAACACAGCCTCTGACCTCATAGAGGTAGTAGACACCAAACAAATAATCACACATATACATCTATTTTAAAATGTTTGAATTTTTCATTGACAAATAACTAGTTTATGTATTTACAGGATACGATGTGATTTTGGTATTATACACTGTGGAATGAATATATCAAGGTATTTAACATATCTATCACCTCGCATGCTTTTTTTTTTTTTTTTTTTTTGCAGTGAGAAGATTTAAAATCTACTCCTTCAGCAATTTTGAGATACACATTACAATTAATTATGGTCACTTTGTTACGCAGTAAATCCTGAAAACTTACTCCTCTGATCTAAATGAAACTTTGTACCCCTTGGTCAATTTCTTTCCATTCCCTTCAAGAACCCCTCACCTGCCACTGGTAACTACCATTCTACTCACTACTTCTCTAAGTGTAACTTTATTACATTTCACATCAAAGTGAATCATGCAGTACTTGTCTTTCGGTGCCTAGCTTCTTTCACTTAGCATTAAGTCTTCCAGGTTGATCCATGTTGTCACAAATAAGATTTCCTTTGAATAGTATTCCACTGTGTATACACATATTTACTTTATCCAGTCATCCACTGATGGACGCTTAGGTTGATTCCATATCTTGGCTACTATGAATAGTCCTGCAAAGAACATGTAAGTGTAGATATCTCTTTGACATACTGACTTCAGTTCTGGATACGTACCCAGAGGTAGGACTGCTGAACCATATGGTAAATATGCTTTTATTTTTTTGAGAAACCTCCCATACTATCCTCCGTAACAGCTCTTCTAATTTACATTCCCACTAACAGTATACAAGGGTTCCCAAGTGCCACATCTTTGCCAACACCTGTTATCATTTGACCTTTTTTTTTTTTTTGATACAAGGTCTTGCTCTGTCTCCCAGGCTGGAGTACAGCAGTGTCTGTGATCACAGCTCACTGCAGCCTCAACCTCCTGGGCTTAAGCAGTCCTCCCACCTTAACCTCCTGAGTAGCTGGCACTACAGGCACGTGTCACCACACCTGGCTAATTTATTTTATTTTATTTTTGTAAAGACAAGGTCTCACTATGTTGGCCAGGCTGGTCTTGAATTCCCGGGCTTAAGTGATCCTCCCACCTCAGCCTCCCAAAGTGCTAAGACTACAGGCATGAGCCAACATGTCTCATTCTACTTTTTGAAAACAGCCATCCTAACAGGTGTGAGGGGATATCTCACTGTGGTTTTAATTTGCATTTTATTAATTAGTGATGTTGGACACTTTTTGATAAACCTATTGGCCATTTGTATCTTACACAAATGTAAAACATTTGTGATATCTGCCTGTCTGAGCAAAGCATAGGGGTGGATGCTGAGGCTAGACGGGGTGGCTGCCCTGCAGGGGCTCAAACCAGATAGACTTTCCTACTGAGTTTCTGCAGCAACCAGCTGGGCTTTGTAAATGGGCTATGCCACTGGCTGGTATCTCTGATCAGGTGCTCCTGCTGGCAGGAACACAGTCATCGCCAAGATCCGTGTGCTGGTTGCTGTGAGCACTGCCCCACTCCTTTGTTCCTACTTGACTCCTGGTAGTCCAGACCTTACCCCCAGGGTTCCCTGTGAGACAGGAATGGGCCTCCTAGGAAGCATCAAAGAATGCTGGGGAAACTGGATAGCTGTCTCTTTTTCCACTGTATTAACTGTGTGCCCAGGGGAATCTTCTGTGTGGTGCTGTGCCTACTTAGGGGAGGTAGGATTCAATCAAATTGAGGCCATTGCTCCCCTTCTAATGCACTTTTTGCTCTGTGGTTCATCTGGGTGTCTCAACTTCATTCCCAAGTTTTGGGATTTTCACAAAGATGTTCTTGTATGTGACTAGTTGCCAAATGGACTTTCTGTGGTGAAGGCTGGGACCTTCTATTCACCATCTTGCTGATGTTCCTCTCTCCACAAATTTAAACTGCAACTATGACTTGTAGTATGCAGAATGGACTGTGACAATGACAATGATTGAAATGGCACAGCCCAAGAGGACATTTTCCAACCTTAACATTTTACGGAAAAGGGCTCGAAAGCACAAGAGTTAAGTGACATGTAAGAGTCGTAAGGATAGTGGGGCAGCTACAACCACTCTACCCTTCCAGCGCCTTTCCAAATACATGAAAACCTCAGGTTAAAAGTCTGAGCTCCGAAATCAGATGAACATGAGCTTGAATCACCATTTCATCTTTTACTCAACCTCTTTGCAGGGATTCTCAATCTGTAGAATGAGAATAATAACTACTTGGAGTTGTGAAGATAAAATGAGCTACTAATGTATGTAAATTTTATCACTGTCTGGGTAAATACTCAACAAATCGTGAATATTATTTCTGCATTTTGAATCTTTTCATTAGATAGGAGCTGGAAAACTAAGATCCTTCCCTGGTTGTTCAGTCACCAGCAGAGACTCCTTGAGAAGGCCAAATTACTTCTTTCCTCATCTACTTAATGACCACTTTTATCAATATACTCATGCCCAAGACTATCTTATAAAACTCCAGACCCACACTTTCAGTTGCCTATCCAACATCTATGGCTGGATGTCTGAAAAGCATCTCAATCTTAATGTTTGTGTTCCTGATACCACCCCTTCCTCTCAAAGCTCCTGCCCCAGTACTCTCTTAAGGATTTCCCAACTTCAGTTAATGGCAACTTCATTTTTGCAGCTGTAGGAGAAAAAAAAACATTGAAGGTACTCTTAACTCCTCTCTCTCGCCCTCAGTAAATCCTGTTTGTTCTATCTCTAAAATATATTCAGAATAGGAGCTCTTGCCACCATCCTGGTCTGTGATGGTTAATTTTAATGTGTCAACTTGGCTGGGCCATGGTGCCCAGATATTTGGTCAAATAGTATTCTGAATGCTTCTATGAAGGTATTTTTTGGATGAAATTAATGTCTAAATCAATGGACTTTGAAAAAAGCAGATTATATTACCCTTCATAATGTGGGTGGGCTAAATCCAATTAGTTGAAGTTTTTACTAAGACAAAGACTAATCTCCTCCTGAAAAAGAAGGAATTCTGCCAGGAGACTGCCTTTGGACTTGAATGGCAACTCTTTCTTGATTCTCCAGCTTGTCCTACTCCCTTAGATTTTAAACGCAACAAGCCTCTACAATTATGTGAGCCAATTCTTTACAATAAACCTCTCAATCTCTCTCTCTCTCTCTCCACACACACACCCCGCCCTCAAACTTGGCTGGTCATGTTTCTCTGGAGAACCCTAATACACAGTCTAAATCATTAACTCTCACACTGATCACTGTGGTAATCTTTTAGTTTTCTGTTCCTGAATTCTTGTCTTGCTGTAACTTACACCGAGCATGTTTTTTACAGTTTGTTTAGTGTAAGTTTGAATTATAGTTACAATAGTTAATAATTACTGGATTTTTATCTTGCTATGATTTATTAATTTATTGATGAAACACTGATTATCAATTATGAACCAAACATAAGAGCTATAAAAATAATTAGAACATGGATCTTGCCTGGAATCTGGGGAGTGTCTATATATATACACTATATATATAGGATCTATATAAGCAGATATAAATTTTAAAAATTATAATATAGTGTGATAAATACAGTGACAAAGAATGAATAAAGTTCAAAGAAAGTATAACATCTACTTACATTAAAAAGTTGTTTTTTAGCATATGTTCTAATCTGTCCTTATAAAAAGAAGACAAAAAATAAATTTTAAAAATACAATTTTATTCATTATGTATAATTAACACATTAAACAGTAGATGTATTGGGCTTTATCCACAAAACTAATTACCTTTTGGCCAGGAGCTATGAATTTGTGACAGAGTTCAACATCTTCAGGACAATTGGAGAGAACCATCATTGTTGTAGCCTTGAAGAGTTCCTCTATAACCTAAGAGAAATGAAACAGAATCACCTGACACGTAAGCAATTTTACATGAAAAACTCGTTCAGAGATCAATAAGGACTGCACTCCAGGTTTTAGCAACTATAAATCCACTAAGTCTTTTAATCCTTGAATGTACCAGGAAAAATTGGTTCAGTTTTCCAGGCATCTCAATTTCCTTGGTGTGTGGCAGGGAGGAAGAAAAAAGGAAATGTTTTAATCTTATGTTGACAGTTTCAATACTGGTAAAGAAATGAGATGTAAAATGAACAGCTATAACTGATCAATGTCTCTCCAAATTTCAATAAACTCACTTGTAGAATCAGGGTAATAACAGCACCTAACTTACAGGATGTTTGAGAGAATTAAATGAGATAAACCACGTGTCACACTTAGCTTAGTACTGGTTCAGAGAAGCACACAACAAACATCAGTTCTTGTTAACAGTAAGAACATTTTGAAAAGTGGTTTATTCACTCATTGATAAATGAAAGTCAATTTTAAAATTACAGAAATGATGATATATCTAAATATAAATATATACATTTTTTGCTTTGCTAATGGCCAAAATAAAAATAACATGAAGCAGCATACAGCAAAAATCAGTATATAAGAACTTATTCTCAAGACCAGCCTGGGCAACATGGCAAAACTCTGTCTCTACAGAAAGAAAGAAGAAAAATTAGCTGGGCATAGTGGTGTGCGCACCTGTAGTCCCAGCTCCTCAGGAGGCTGAGTTGGGAGGATCACTTGAGCCGGCGAGGTTGAGGCTGCAGTGAGCCATGATCATGCCACTGCAACTCCAGGACAGGTGACATCTCAAAAAACAACAAAAAAAAAATATTCTTCCATGGGTGCCCATAGGAGACTCATAATAGAAACTTGTTCTTAGAAGGAAAAAAGTGACTGGAATGGAAAATATTTCTAAAATGTTTTTATTCACAACCAACATTCTTGGTTTTAAATCAATGAGACAGTATTAGGTCTTCTAAATGGTGTATTCACAAAGGTGCACATATGTATAAAGTACAGGCTGCCTTAAAGGCAGGTATCTTCTCTTCCTCTGTTGCATACTAGTAGATCCTCTTGAGGGTGGAAGCATAGTGAAGGCATAATTGTCAATGGAAGTACATTAATATAGTCAGATATAGGAAAACACTTAAATACCAGTGACAACCAGATCTATTTTATGATGTTTCAGTCATTGTTAGTGTCATTTATTTATTTATTTATGAGACAAGGTCTTGCTCTGTCACCCAGGTTGGAGGGCAGTGGTATAATCATAGCTCACTGCTGCCTTGATCTCTCAGGCTCAAGAGATTCTCCTGCCTCAGTCAACTATGTAACTGGGACCACAGGCATGCACCATCACACCCAGCTGATTTTTTGTTTTTTATTACAGATGAGGTCTCGCTGTATTGCCCAGACTGGTCTCGAACTCTTAAGCTCAAGTGATCCTCCCTTCTCAGCCTCCCACAGTACAAATCAAAAATTTATGCAGCCAACAAACATATGGAAAAAAGCTCATCATCACTGGTCATTAGAGAAATGTAAATAAAAACCACAATGAGATACCACCTTATGCCACTTAAAATGGCAATTATTAAGAAGTCAGGAAACAACAGATGCTAGCAAGGCTGTGGAGAAACAGGAATGCTTTTACATTGTTGGTGGGAGTGTCAATTAGTTCAACCATTGCGAAGACAGTGTGGCGATTTCTCAAGAATGTAGAATCAGAAAAGCATTTGACCCAGCAATCCCATTACTGGGTATGTACCCAAAGGATTTGAAATCATTCTACTTTATAAAGACACATGAACACATGTTTATTGCAGTACTATTTGCAACAGCAAAGGCTTGGAACCAACCCAAATGCCCATCAATGATAGACTGGATACTGTGATAGATTGGATACTGTATACACCACGGAATACTATGCAGCCATGAAAAAGAATGAGTTCGTGTCCTTTGCAGGGACATGGATGAGCTGGAAGCCATTATTCTAGGCAAACTAACGAACAGAAAACCAAACACCACGTGTTCTCACTCACAAGTGGGAGCTGAACAATAAGAACACATGGACACAGGGAGGGGAACATCACACACTGGGGTCTGTCAGGGGATGGTGGGCAAGGGGAGGGAGAGCATTAGCACAAATACCTAATGCATGTGGGGCTTAAAACCTAGATGATGGGTTGATAGGTGCAGCAAACCACCATGGCACATGTATACCTAGGTAACAAACCTGCACATTCTGCACATGTATCCCAGAACTTAAAAGTAAAACAAAAACAAAAACAAAAACAAAACAACACAAAACACAACACAACACAACTCTGGTCAGAATACAAAGAGCAACTCAGAAAAATAAACAATGATAGGTGGACTGGGAACTAGTCAACTTGATTAATAACCTGAAATGGAGATGAATTTTAGTTCCATTTTTACCTCCTTTGTCTCCTGGTTTTGATTTGGGGGTAAAACATTGATCTGTTTAGTAGGCATAGGAAGCAAAACTTCTGGAAGAAAGCTCCTACTACTAGTCTGGTAAAGTCCCTGTAGGATAGGGTGTTTACAGGAAAATCCTTGGTTGTTTTGTCCCCCACTCTTTTCTCTCTTCTGTTCCTGGCCAAAAGGTAGCCCCAGCTGTGGAGTGGCACTGTCAGGGTGAGTGGCACAAGCACCTAAAACTCCAAGACAAGACCTGCTTCTCCAACAGAGGAACTGGGAAAGGGAGACTGCTGTCTGAAGAGTGTGGATGTGGGTAATCTCTATTATTATTATTACTATTTTTTGAGATGGAGTCTTGCTCTTATCACCCAGGCTGGAGTGCAGTGGCACGATCTCGGCTCACTGCAATCTCCGCCTCCCAGGTTCAAGCGATTCTCATGCCTCAGCCTCCCGAGTACCTGGGATCACAGGCGCGTGCCACCATGCCCAGCTAATTTTTGTATTTTTAGTAGAGACAGGGTTTCACCATGCTGGCCAGATTGGTCTCGAACTCCTGACCTCAGGTGATCTGCCTGCCTCGGCCTCCCAAAGTGCTGGGATTACAGGCATGAGCCACTCTGCACCCAGCCCGTTATTAATACTTTTTTTGAATGTTTTCTCTTGCCAGTTTGACCCAATGGTGGCCACAGTCACCTGGAAATGAATAACATGGTGGCGACTAAGACCTGGGAGAAATCTGTCTTTCTGGCCAGAGAAACCAAAATGTGGGGCTTCAGGTAGCCAGACATTGTGAAGGAAATTCTGAAGAATAGGAGAAGGTGATCCTCTAATTGTGTATGAAGTAACACAAGGCTAGGGTTCACCTCCAAGCAATGTATATGTGAAACAGACCCAAAGAAGCCCAGTGAAAGCTTCTGACAATGAACTACAATATAAATCACTGTGCAATTTCCAGACTAACTATGAGTAGCACATGCATCAGAAAGACTCAAATAGCATAGCAGAGGCTTTGAAAACTTAACTGACGTGGAAACCAACGCCAATAAAAAGTAAGATAAAACTTACAGTCTGAATCTAATCAGTTTAATAACTGGTAAAAACAACAACAAAAATAATTCCATTTCCAAAGGATTTTAACAGAACCCAGAGTGTCAGAACATGACATTAAAAACATCCAGGATATAATTAAAAATTACCGGACATACAAAGAACCAGGAAAATCTTATGAATTCTCATGAGAAAAAATAATCAATAGATACATATACACAGAAGACTCAGATATTGAAATTATCTGACAATTTAAAACAGGTATTATAACCATCTTCCACAGGTAAACGAAACATTCTTAAACAGAAAAATAGAACTTCTCAGTGGAGAAAAAGAAACTAAAAATAAATAAAAATTTTAGAATTGGAAAATATGTGAAAGAAAAATTTCACAGGATGGGCTCATTATCACAATGAAGATAAAAGAGGAAAGAATTAGTAAGTTTGAAGACAGTTCAGCTGAAATGCCCCCCACTCTGAATTACAGAAAGAAAAAATACTAGCCAGGCATGGTGGCTCATGCCTGTAATCCCAGCACTTTGGGAGTCTGAGGTGGGTGGATCACTTGAGGTCCGGAGTTCAAGACCAGCCCAGCCAACATGGTGAAACCCCGTCTCTACTAAAAGTACAAAAATTAGTCGGGTGTGGTGGCGGGTGCCTGTAATCCCAGCTACTCAGGAGGCTGAGGCAGGAGAAATGCTTGGACCCGGGAGGTGGAGGTTGCAGTGAGCTAAAATCGTGCCACTGCACTCCAGCCTGGGCAACAGAGTGAGACTCTGTCAAGAAAGACAGAAAGAAAGAAAGGCAGGCAAGAAGGCAGGAAGGCAAGCAAGCAAGCAAGCAAGCAAGCAAGCAAGCAAGCAAGACAGACTCATTAATAATAAGCAGAGCATCACAGCACTATGGGACGATATCAAAAGGTTTTATATTCTTGTTATTGGAGTACCAGAAGCAGAAAAGACAACAAAAAAGGCACAGAAAAAAAATGTGAAAAAATAATGGCTGAAAACTCCCCCAAGTTGGCTAAAGACATATTCAAGGAGCTCGCTAAACCACAAACAGGATAAACTCAAAGAAAATTATACCTACACACATCATAATCCATGAGCTGAAAACCAAAGACAAAGAAAAAAATCTTTAAAGAAACGAGAGAAAAATGACCCTTTACACTGGAACAATAATTCAAGACTGGATTTATTCTCAAACACTACAGAGGTCAAAAGATAGACTATATTTAAAGTGCTGAAAGAAAATAACTGTCAAGCCAAAATTCTATATCCTGTGGAAGCATCTTTCAGAAATGACAATAAAATTTAAAAATTATCAAATGAAGAAAAACTAAGAGAAGTGATTGCCAGCAGAAATGCTTTTAAATGTTCAAGGAAATTCTTTAGGCTGAAGGAAAGTGACCAGAGAAGGAAATCTGAAACTTGAGTAATGAAAGAACAATAGAAACAGTAATTTACTATTACTACCAAATGTAGGTAAATACAACAGATTTTTTTTCTC